AGTTCTCATGCCGGCTTCCTGTTCTATTTTCTCCCAGGAAGTGCCACACAGAGACAGGGGCTCACACACACACACACACATACACACACACACACACACACACACACACACACACACACACACACACACACACACACACACACACACACACACACACACACACACACACACACACACACACACACCATTTTTGCTCTCTGGGGAGAAAGGCTTCCTTGTGGAGGTGAGGCGGTCGCTTGTTTTCAGCTCTCACGCCGGCTTCCTGTTCTATTTTCTCCCAGGAAGTGCCACACAGAGACAGGGGCTCACACACACACACACACACACACACAAATGGCAGTCCCTGGCTCCCACGGGGTTACAGTGATGTCACCTGTCAGTCCTCGCTGTGCCTGAAAAGAGATAGAGAGGAAGAAATGAAGTTAAATAATGACGATGATATGTTCAATACAATATGTAATTATCGTAACAGTTTTGCTGAGTCATGGTGCAATACTCCACTGTGCTGACAATCGGACTCCTTTTATAACAAGTCGAAGATGTGTCGGAGTCATAATGATATGATGTGAACTACAGCGTTCATGTGCATGGTAGTTGACCCCCAGGAAGCGAGGGGTAAGTGGATGGATGCATGGATGTAGGGATGGATACATGTACGGATGTAAAGGTGGGTGGAGCAGCATTAATCCAATACATGCAGAGGATGTTCACGACATTTAGCATCGAGCATTAGTCACACTGCGGCACCAGTGTCTGAACCACCTGCCACGGGACGCATCATCACACACCTTCAGGTGGGAAAGAGGGAGTGTGTGTGTGTGTGTGGGGGGGTGTGTGTGTGTGTGTGTGTGTGTGTGTGAGCTGAGTGTTTTATTGACAAAGCATAACGCAGGATTTCACATTTTCCAAGCGTCCTTTAACAAACAGTATTCCTGCCAAGCACACTGTTGGAGTTAACACATCACGAGCTTTATCAAACTTTAAAGTATCACAGACAAGTGCTCAGAGAGAATGGACAGAGAGAACCAATCAGATGTGAGATGATTTAATGAAATTAAAAGAGAGCATGGTTGATAAGAAAATGAAACACAATTTAATTGGACTGTGTCCCAAGGAAATTAACTACGGAGGTGCTTGTAGATAATTGATGTTGATAACTACATTTGGGGGATAGTTATCTCATGTCTTAGTTTTGTCTTTGATTTCTTCTCAGTACTGGAGGTCCCTGGATCCCACTAATGCATTGAGTAACTATCATCGTTGCTGCCAAAGACGTAGACACTATGGTGAAGTGGAATAAAACCCTTGAATGGTTTCCTGTAACAGAGAGGACAGACTAGGCTGCACATGAATCACCCTCCCAGCCGGCAGATCTCAGGGCCGCCGACCTGATACTGATCCTCCCTTCCCGTCAAGGAACTTCCTCTGTGTGTGAGCAATCTTATTGTTCATATATATAGCTTCCAGGAAAAGTAGAGCGGCTTCAAACGACAAGAGAAGATGCTTCATCGACTCAACTGTGTGGCGTTTGCAGACGCTGAATCACAGAGCAGAGACCACTGAACTGTCGTTATCCATTAAACTATTAATACCACCTCAACTCCCTAAAGAACACTAATAGGATGTTATTTAAAAAATGACGGTTGGAGGGAAAGTTGGCACAAACCGAGCAATTCATCATCGGGAAACCAGGTGTCTGCAATGTGGGGGATATGTGCATGCTCTGGTTATCAAGTGTATGTATGTGTGGGTGTGCACAATCTATAGTGCTGCGTACTTGGATACCCCTTCTGCTCTTTGAATCAATGAGCTCTTTGACTTAAAGATTCAGTTCCCAGAGAACGCTGCAGACCTCCAATCAGTTAAAGCAGCTACTGACAATGCTGCCATTTTCATTTCATTTGCCACATGCTAAGATTGTGTTCAGAGCAGACTGTCTGAACCCTACTGTAACTTTTCTCTCACTGTGGCATTGTTTTTTTTTTTTACAGCAAGTCCTGCACCTGTATGGTAAAAACTCACAAGCATGGCTAGAAGGAGGGCGCAAAGACACAAAAGCAAAATGCGCCATCGCTGTACGATATATTCGGATTAAGGCGCTCAATCTAACGCATCATGTTTGGGTTTAAAGGGGCGCTATAATATAACACTTTTTGGGGTTTTCCCTTTCCTTTAGTGAGTTTTTGTAAAGGTCTGCAAAGGCTAAAATCCCACACTCCCACCCCACCAAACAAGCCTTCACTGGACTCCTTTGCTAACATCCGTAACTATTGGTGAGTGCTCTAAAACATTGTACTTAATAAACTAAGGGGCGGGGCTAACCAATCAGAGAAGACTGTGACAAATAAAGGGCTTTATTAACATTAAAGCATCGCTACATGTCACAGTAGACACAAAATACAAATATGAAACTGAAAATGTGCAGAATAGGTCCTCTTTAAAATCCTGTTTTCATAGCTTCTTCAATTGATTGTCTTTTACAGCATTAAAACCTGGATCCATAACGCGTCAAACGTCGCAAACTAAATAAAATCCTTCCAGCAAACTTCACAGCTCATCTACGGATACATTTGATTTCGGACATAGTTTGATATCACACACTGCGTATGGCTATGGCGCTTTTTATGTGTTTACCAACGACTGGATCATGAATAAAAGTCTCGCTGTTTCTCCCATCGCTGCACCACATTACCATGAAGCATGTGATGCTGTAGTACAGTGTACGTATACCCTCAGGTTTCTGGGTGTGTTAATGTGTGTCAGCGATGCGGTTCAGACGGAGGTCATGCAAAGTAAAAACCCAGAGGGAGGCCGGCATGACAGCAGTGTGTAGATTAATGCTAATTCGAACACTGCTGATAGCTGCTTAGCATAGTGGTTGGTAGTACTGTATAAAACAGTCGTGTACACACACACATATTTTTACTCTGGAGTTTGTGCTTTATTTCCTGGCCTGGTTTCAAACTGTAGTCTATGTTTAACTTCCTTTGTGGAAAACAAAGACTTCCCAGACGGCACGAGTAAGGCAATGCGGTGTGTAAGGCGGCAAGTTGGTTCAGCATTGTTTCTTGGAGGAGACTTTCATTTCTTTCTGTGGATGTCAGCTGTGAGAGTGTGAAGTAACACAGCAATGATACTTAGTTATCTAACCCACACACAACAACATGTTCTGATTGTGTTCCAGTCCTCCATGTGCCATTACCCAGTGAGATAAAAGTTTATATCATGACTAATAAATATGCTATGTGATAAGGGCCAATGAATTGGTCAGAAGTCAGAAAGTGGGCTAGGTGAAGCTATGACATGATGTTGGGACTATGTAAAACATCCAGAAGTCACAAGAGTCATATTCCAGGGAAGTATAAACTCAAATTCATGGCAATCTGGGCTGTACTGTCGCTCCAACACATTGTACGTGATACGCTAAGGGGCGGGACATCTCTAAGCGGTTGACCAATCACAACCGAGCTGGCCAGCTAACCAATCAGAGCAGACTGGGCTCTGGTTTCAGACAGAGGGTGAAAAGAGGTGCTGCAGCACAGGCAGTATGAGAACAATAAAGAGCTTCTTGAACATTAAAGGAGACATGTCATAGGAGAGGGACTAAATAATCACTAAATACTTATAACATTGCCAGGCTCTACTGCAAATCAAAATGTATCATGTAACAACCCACATGATTACAGTGCACAAATTAAATGAATGAAAGGCTATCAACAGTCCTGTGGGGGAAAAGGAGCCCACATCATTAGGTCACTAAAGTTCCTGCGTACACAAAAACCCAAACAAGGATTACGTAATCCTCCTCAGAATATCTTCCTTCCTGGAAAGGAGAGTGGGCAAAAACAAAAAAGCCTTCCTTCTGAAGAATCTCAAACATCTGGCTTTGTTTGCCGACAGGTTTCTGGGAACATATCCCAACTCCAGTCCTAGAGAAGCCCAACCTCTTAATGGGACCATTTAAAGCTGTTTGATAGCTAACTAGATAACATGTACGCTGTGTTACTGGTTATATTAGTGTTGTATGTGCATTGAGTGAATACATTACCAGTCTGTAGCTCTGTGCTTTGGTAGGGATGGATGGATAGATGGGGTGTGTTGTCATGACAACAGTGTGAGTGACTCAGGCTGATATCAGAGTTTAGAGGAAGCTGCTTTTAGCCTTTTAAGGAGACAGTGATTAAGTGTGTGTGTGTGTGTGTGTGTGTGTGTGTGTGTGTGTGTGTGTGTGTGTGTGTGTGTGTGTGTGTGTGTGTGTGTGTGTGTGTGGTCATGACATGATGTCGACACATCACCCACTTACAGTAAAACATGGTATTAAGTCATTTTTTTGCCAATAACAGCACTTACTCATCCAACCTGCCTGTTATCAGCACACACACACACACACACACACACACACACACACACACACACACACACACACACACACACACACACACACACACACACACACACACACACACACACACACACACACATCAAGCCTGTGGTTTGCATCATGAATAAATTGAATATCCTCTTACTAAGCTACTAAATACATCTGCAGTGTCACGCTACAGTGGGTGATGCCGGTTCTACACAGACCGGTGCGTCCCACCAACACATACAGTAAGAATATCAACATTTGGGTCATGTTACCACAAAGGCTTTATCGATTGGAGACCCATGTTCTTTTTAGAGTAGATTACGTGTGTGTGAAGCGAGGAGACACGCAGTCCCAATGTGATAACATCTCAAATTGAGTCGAATATGAATTTGCTGCTTGCTTTTGTTGATTTATTTGAATAACTATGAACTTGTGATGTTGAAATTGCAGGGAGTTGAATACTTCGCAAACTTAAGTCATGAAATCATCCTTTTTTTGTAGATCTTTGAATGAACTGAATTATTTTAAACACATTTTTTTAATTTAGGTCTGAAATGGAGGGTCCACATTTTACCAACAGACTGTATTAAGGGTCTTATTCCCATCTGCCATTAGAGGCGTGTTACAAAAAAGTCCAACACTTAGCTAGCCTATAGAAGTGCAAGTGTTAAGTAGTGATGTCACTATGTTATGTAAGTAAACAGAGGAGTCCAATGGAGGTGGTTTCAGGCAGGGTGTGTGTAAGAGAAACTCCCTCTAGAAATCCTTTGCAGACCATTTACATGCACAAAAACCTATAACACACTACAGGAAACAGAAAATCCCAAAAAGCATAATAGGTCCTCTTTAAACTAAATCACAGATAAGGTTTAAAATATATTTCTCCTACCGCAACAACATATGAAGCCTTGTGCTAAAATAAGCAGCTTTCATTATACACTACAGTAGAGACTTGGCCTATTTGACAAAGTCTTGCATACACAAAGCCGAGAACAGGAAGTGTTTTCAAAGCAGCCTGACATCTCCAGGTCTGCAAACTAGATGCAGGCCGGCCAAGCGAAAAAGACACAAACACACCATATCAAAGTTTCTGAATTTCCATGTAGCCCACCCTAAATCTGGGGGTTAATCGCATGAATATTTCAACAGACATCCATTAATTTGGTTGTTATAATGCCTTATGTATAACTTGCCTCACAAAACCTCTCCTCCTGGTGCTACCATACTTTACTGCATTTCCCTTCCATATTCCAACACCACTGGAGGAGAAATGCACTTAAACTGGAAGAATGGGAGCTCATTGGCTATGCAGCCTGCTCCGTACATCATTGGCTACCTACAAGAGAGTACTCATTGTTCTCTGTAGTAATGGGATGTTCCTTTTGGTTCTCTAAGGACAACATTCTTTATGCATCATGGCAGAAAAAAAGAATCAGCAAATGAACTGCAGGAAACTTCCCTAACCAAGTTTTACGAGAATGTGTGTGTGTGTGTGTGTGTGTGTGTGTGTGTGTGTGTGTGTGTGTGTGTGTGTGTGTGTGTGTGTGTGTGTGTGTGTGTGTGTGTGTGTGTGTGTGTGCCCGTGTGCCCGTGTGTGTGTCCGTGTGTGTGTCCGTGTGTGTGTCCGTGTGCCCTGTGTGTGTGTGTGTGTGTGTGTGTGTGTGTGTGTGTGTGTGTGTGTGTGTGTGTGTGTGTGTGTGTGTGTGTGTGTGTCGTGTGGGTGTGTGCCCGTGTGCCCGTGTGTGTGTCCGTGTGTGTGTCCGTGTGTGTGTCCGTGTGTGTGTCCGT